ATTTACTACTTAGGGGCTTGAGCAGTTTTGGTTCGATTTTGACAATTTTTGGTCACAAGGTGGCATACTTTAAACGTATTATTCACGCAAAGTTTTACCCCGATATAAACATTGTTGCTTGATATGCATAGTGGAAAGTGGAAAAATCAGATGGAATTGAAGATGGTGTTATATGGGAAATAGGCGTGGTTGTAATCCGATTTCGCCCATTTTCGCACTATAACACAGAAATATGAAAAGAACGTTATGCACGTATTTGGTTGCAATCGGTTAAGCAGATCCCAAGATATAGGTTTTCACCTAAAAGTGGGCGGTGCCACGCCCACTGTCAAATTTTGAACGCGGTTCCTATAAAGTCATCTCATACCATCCCAGAGATAAAATTTAATGTCTCTGGCGTGTTTAGTGCTTGATTTATCGCGCTTTGAGTAGTTTTTAATAGCATCGTTATATGGGGAGTAGGCGGAGTTGCCACCCGATTTCAACTATTTTCACACTGTAGCTAGAGGTTTTGTTATTATAGCATTAGCGGTTTAGGAGGTATGCATATTAAACCTATTAGGGGCGGGACCACGCCCACTTTAAAAAAAATTTTAACTGCAGATGCCCCTCCCTAATGTGATCCTGTGTATCAAATAACAGTCTTGTATCTTATTGCGGAGTTTAGTTATGGAAATTTATTTGTTTTTGATTAATGGCGTTTTGTGGGCGTGGCAGTGGTCCGATTACGTCCATCTGCAATACCAACCGTCTCACGGTACCAAGAAACATGTCTACCAAGTTTCATAAAGATATCTCAATTTTTAGGTTAGTTAGAGCACGGACGGACGGACAGACAGTCACCCGGATTTCAACTCGTCTCTCCATCCTGATCATTTATATATATATAACCCTATATCTAACTCGATTAGTTTTAGCTGATACAAACAACCGTTAGGTGAACAGAACTATTCTACTCTGTAGCAACAGGTTGCGAGAGTATAAAAATGAAAGAATTAATTGTCCAATCGATACAGGTTCATCGATTTCACTTATGAACAGTAATAGATTGAAGTCATGTAAACAAATAATACTAACACATCCAATTAAGCTTAAGTCGCGAAACGAATAGTGAAAAAAGAAATTATCAAAAACCTACCTCAAGAAGTTAAAGAGGATGTTGAAATGGTTTGAAAATTAGCTACATTTAATCACAAAAATTGTATGCAATTATAGGTCAGAACTTATTAAAACCATTGGGGGCTATAATAAACATGAAAAAAATACTGTTATGATAAATAAAAGAATAACTAATTTTATTTATTCATATAATCAGAATGATAGTCGTAAATTTGAGTGTTATGTGTTCAATCGGGAAAAAATTTAAAAATTACTACAAAATCTAAATAAAGAAGAATATAAAGCTATGTCTAGCCTACTAAAAGAATATAATTGTTTGTTTTACCATGAGGGACAGGAATTAATAACAACTGAAAGTATAAAACATGAGATATTTACTAAAACAAATTACTAAAACCCACAGTTTCATGAGAAGGAAATAGTTAAACAAATTCAAGATATGTTAAAATTAGGTATCATTACAGAAAGTCATTCACCATATAACACCCCATTGTAGATAGTTCCTAAAAAAATTGATAATTCTTGTAAAAAGAAGTGGAGAGTAGTGATCGATTATCGTAGGTTGAACCATACTCATAGATGACTTCAGTTGAATTTTTAGGTTTGCTGGCGTAGTCCAAATGTAAAAAACATTTTGTTATTTGATAATTGGCAATTCAGCTGTCATCAGTAAAAAAACGCATTTAACGCAACGCATTAACAGCTGCGATTTGCTAAAGAAACTTAATGACAATTATCCATTTTTAAATGAATAATAACTAGCAATGAAAAATGGGTTGTTTAGCAGGCCAGGTTAACCAGCTTAAACAACACCAAAAGCTGGTATTCATCAAAAGAAGGTTTTGTTATCAGTTTGGTGGGATTATAAAGTAATTGTCTACTTTGAACTCTTACCACCCAACCGAACGATCAACATTACAGAATAAAGTTATTTAATTCCATGAAAAAATTGTCTTTGATTTTTTAAAAAAATCCGCAACTACTCAGTGTGTTTTTATTTATTTCTGCAAGGAGCTCTCCGTCAGTCTTAGCTTCAGGCTACCGGACCACTGTAGTGTTTTTCAGGCGGAAGTGGCTGCTATCAAGGTGGCGGTAGAAGTGAGCATCCACTCTGATAGTAGGGCGGCAATACTAGCTTTGAGCGCGCGAACCGTGCAATCAAAGCTAGTCAAGGAGTGCCTGTCCTCACTTGAGATAGTGGCTGGCTATTTCAACATCAGGCTCGTTTGGGTGCCTGGTCACAGCGGAATCGCTGAAAACTGAAAATCCGCTGAGCTAGCCAGTTGGGGACCCTTGCCCCGCTCACATGGGAATGGAATCGGGTTCGATCTCCGTTAGCTAGCTTTGGATCAATGGACCTCGCGTGCACTCAGCAGACGCTGGTCGACGACCAACTCCTGTGCGACCGCGAGATCCTTCTGGCCAAGAGTGGAGCACAAGAGGTCGGGGGAACTTCTCGCCCTGAGCAAAGTGCATCTCGCCGCTATTGTAGGAGTTCTCACTGGACACTGTCCAATGGACACTCATGCGGTACGGCTTAGAGTGCTACCCGATGCTAGTTGCCAAAGTTGCATGGAGGAGGGCGAGGTGGAATCATCCCGGCACTTTCTCCTCCAATGTCCGGCTTTCGCTAGGCTGAGATTGAAATATCTCGGCAATCACACTTTTGGCGGACCTGAATACTTAGCCGAAATAGATATTGGCCGTCTAAACAAGTTTGTTGTAAGCACAAAACGTCTCGTCGACTTGTAAGGGTCTTTTGATCCAGATTATAGGAGTTTTAGTAGGTATCACAACGGACCACCTAACCTACCTATTTACATTGTGTTTTTACTTCACTGAAAAAAATGTTTCGGGTGAACGCAGACTTTATTGGCTATGTGTAAATGGCGGGCATGATACCATTGGTGATGAGGCTAAGTGAGGTATGTACTAAAAACTATTTGTTTATCACTTTGGGTAAGATGTAGAATAACATGTGCCAAATACCTGTTTCCTGGATTTATAATGAATTTTACACTTATACTTTTAACTTTTATATGCACTATCACTTCACTAATTCGTTTCCACACATTTATTTTGGAAAAACTTTAGAATACCGTCCCAGGATCTCGAGACTAAAATGGATGTGGGCGGATAGAGAAGATCCTGCAAATCAAGGCTATATTATTAATTTTATCATTTTGCAACCATTTTGTTATTATGTGAATTAATAGAATTGAACAATATGTGAAATATTGAATTAAAGCTATTTCTGCACTATATAATATAAAATAAATGTGTACAAACGAATTAGTGAAAGACTATATTAAAGGATATTTTTGATCTGGAGAACCTCCTCTATCCGCCCATACCCATTCTATCCCCCAAATCGTGGGATGGTATTCTAAAGCTGACCCTTAATTTTATACCAAATAGTGCAAAAATACTTTGAATTAATTATTTAACTTTTTTCAATTATTTTTATTCACACAATATCAATAGGGTTTCATTCTAACAAACAATCAGATTTAACAAGAGAAAGGAAATTCTGAAAAAGTTTACATTACTAATCACACGATTATGAATTTTCTATTGACGGTATAATTATTTTTTATTTATTTAGATTTTTTTGCGAATGTGGTAACACTTAAATATTTTTTGCCACCATTTTGTTATTGTAGGAATAAATGGGCTTGAACCAAAGTTAAAAACATATTGAATTAAAGTTATTTTTGCATAATTTAATATAAAATAAATGTAAGTGGCTTTTCATTGCTTCATACTTTTTTGAAAACTAGTACAGACGGCACGCACAACTTCTTCTCAAACTACGTCCCAAATTCTGCGGCGCTTAAACTGGTCCCGTTTGTAGTTTTTTACATTTGACCCCATACTACTACTGAACAATTCTTGCTTTATGAGCCGGGGCAGTTTGGATTATTACGAAACATACTGGATACGTGAGCAGAGAAGTGTCCAACAAACGCTTCCTCTATATAATATTTTACATTAAGTTTTAATCCTTTATCAATGAAAATTGGAGTTATTTTTCCTTTTGAATATACGTCTCCCCAAACCATAACAGAGGTCGTGTTTTGATACCTTTCAACAGCGCTTTTATCAGCTGCCTGTAGCACAAAAAGTTGCTCATTAGAAAACACAACCTCACAATTTGCGTGCTGGCGAAGTACCAAATCACTTCTTTCTTTTCTAATTTGCTTTTGTCGTTCCGAATTCGGGACATTGAGTTCTAAAATGTACCCTTCAAAAATTCAACAATTTAAAATATGCACCTTTTTGATTTATATCGAACTAGCAAACCTAGCGAACTCCGTTTCGCCACCAGATGGCTTCGTTTTATGTAATATTTCGTTTGGTGATTAAAATATGAAGAACATTTTTTTTTTGTTTTATATTTGGAAAGGAAAAATTTTATTTCATTTCACAACAGTAATGAATTCATTTCGATTACAAAAATGAAGTGTTATTTAGTTGAACTTCTCTAAGTAAATGAAAGTGGATCCAAAGTAAATACTGAATCGAAGCATTATACGTGTCCGCAAATTATCCGTTTCATTGAAGTGCTCTTTGGAAAACCACATTTTTTGTTTTTTGGTCTGACGTTAACACAAACAAAGCGGATGGTTTCCCAACTCGTGAAAATGCATGCCCATGTGAAAAACAATGATTTTCTAAATTTATCCCGCAAACACTAAGCGATTGGCCATGCGACTTGTTAATTGTCACTGCGAACGCAAGGCGAACTGGAAATTGCAATCGTTTGAAGTCAAACGGAAGATCAGTCGGAATCATTGGTATCCGAGGAATATATACATTTTCACCTGCGTACTTTCCGTTAATAATGGTTGCCTCAATCAATTCGGCATAAGTCTTTTTACCGAAAATCGAGTACCGTTACAAAGTCGCGGTGGATTCAAATTACGCAATATCATAATAACTGTACCAACTTTGAGTTGCAAGTTATGTGGTGGAAATCCTGGCAACTCCAGTGAGTTCAAAAACTCCGTTGGATAGTTTACTACATCATCGGGATTTGTTATGGAATCAACGGAATTGTATGTCACCAAATCGCCAGCAATTTTTGATTGAATGGTGAAACTCAGTGCCTGTACATCATTATTCTTTGCGGCAAGAATTGCTCGTTGACTTAACCAAGCATAATTCTGACAATTCGCACTAATGGTTGGGAAAACATTTTCAAAAATAGCTAATTAAGAGTCTACAAATCGGCAAAAGTCGTTGGTAAGAGTAATTAATCCAGATGTCGCATCAACTGGGACTTTTCCATTTCCAACAGCTAACAATTGTTTGGAAAATTGTGCAGCAATTTGATCATTTTGAAGTTGAACTCTCATATTAGTGGTCCATAAAGGTGATGCCGTCAGGCAAGCATTCAATTCATCTGCAGCCGTTCCACGGGGAATTACTGGCAACGTCTGCCTGAAATTGCCTGCCAACAATAATTGCAGCAACATCATTAACGGTGGGTGCATTGAATCTTCGCACATGTTTACCTGTTGGGGTACAATCCGCTCTTATGACAAATTTGTGCGTATCCGATGGCATTCGTTCCAATGCTGTTTTGAACATATTAACCACAGCATTATTATCGTGAAAAAATGCTTGCAACTGTTCAATAATTCGTCTCTTTAACTGTTGTGTTCCCTGTATATTGCACCGCTCATTCAGCTGATCCACCATCGACGAAATGAAATATATTTGCAGAAATTCATGCGGTTCATCTGGTGTTGGCACCATTGAACCATGCAAATGATATATTTGTCCTTGTATCTGTAATTGCAAACAATCATTTGTTGAAGAATACGGTGTAACTTATGATCGTGTGCTTTCAACCCAAATCTCTCCCACGGAACCACTGGACAAAGTATTACTTCATGGGAGAGAAGAAGACATTTAAGTCTCCTCTACGATACGGACTAACTGACTCCTAATCTGTTGTAAGTGTCTCAATCTTTTCATTATCAAAGCTGACGCTTCGCTGACTGCTTTCCATTTAATAGAGGACTCACACATAAGTGCTGTCAAATTTTCCACCGAGAAACTACCGCCAAGTGTGGTTTTCAGATTTTCTCTTATACTTGAGAACCGAGGGCAATGGTAAAAAACATGTTCAGAGTCTTCAATACACTCTGTACACGTCGGACAGTACGGACTGTAGTCATGACGAAATTTGTAAAGGTAGCTTCTAAAGCACACATGTCCACTTAGCATTTGGGTCAGGTGGAAATCCAGGTCCCCATGCTGTCAATCTATCCACGGTCTGCCACCGTTGCTGCCACAGCGTAATGCTCTTGGTCCTTTCCTCTCTATTTGATGTGATGGTGTAGTGTGTGGTGTATATGTAGTTGTTATGTGTTGCAATTCATTGTGTTGGTGTGAGTGATTGGTTATGTGTGTCTTCTCGAATGATATTAGCTCCAAAGGAAGTCATGCGAAAGCAGTTATTGTATTCAAGGATGTGTTGAAGAAAATGGCTGGAATCGGGATCACTTCCATCGAACAATGGTTTCAGTGGCTGTGGTGGTGTAAGTAATGGATCCAGTTTGACTTTTCCACTTGCGCAGCACAATCCAGCCGTTTCTCTTTTGAACTTTAACGCATTGCAATATCGGCATATAGTCGTCATTGGTCCAATATCTAAATTTGCATCATCACTGTAGTACGCAGTGGGATCAGATTGGAATGCCAAGCGATTGTATGATGCCAATGATCTTCGTGTGCTCACGCGTTGTCTCAATCAGGCATTTTCACTTATTATATAATATTTTGTTTTTCTTTGCTTAAGTTCTGTGAATACACTTGTTGCTGGCTTGCATGCTTGTGCGGCGGCCGATGTTGGCACGTCGTCCTCTGGGCATTTTGGACTATGGACAGAGTGGTGAATTTAACCTCAAATGCACGCTCCACATAATTTATACAGTTCAACTTACCACCTTAAAGACAAATGCCTGTTGTTGAAATTGAATAAAAATTTGCACAATACACGTGATTGATTTGATGGTTTCCAATTGAAATGTTAGGGAATGAATAACTTATTTTTCACAATTTCACAGTGAACACAATACCGGTTTGTCACATGAAATTAACTGAGCAGAGAACAATGAGTAGCTGTCAAACAATGTATCACGCACCGGCGCCATCTACTTAAAATATTGCTTTGTAGTACATGCTATGTATCAGAGATGGCGCTGTATGTGAAAAAAGATTTTCCCGCTTTTCTGTTGAAATTTTTACTGAATTTTCTTTGCTATAAACCTCACGGAGCCCGAGACCTCTCCAACGAATACAAAACCGTGGAAATCGGTTCCTGCGTTCTGGAGTTATAGCGTCAGGAAAGAAAACCCGACATATTTTTATATAATAGATTTTACACTTAGGTAACTTTTACATTTATCCACTAGATAGAGAGGTAGAATAAAAGTGAGCTATGCAACGCGACGTAGGGTCTATTGTGCCCTCGCCATAGTCACAACGACTCACTTAGCCCCAGCACTTTAATGAATTCCAATATACTGCTAGGGTCTGATTAGGCGATGTGATCCCTATTCGGAAAAATGGATCCAAGGGCCTTAATTCTGCATCTTCAGACTGCTGTTCAGTCTATTAGCAGGTGTTCTAGGGTTTCCGGCTCCATGTCGCAGAACCGGCAGTTTGCACAAGAGCCTAGGCTCATGTTGAATAGAGCTTCTTGAGCTTGCAATGGCCGGTATAAAACGCGACAAGTAGCCGGAATTTATTTCTTGGGAGATTGATTACATTCTTAAACCTGCTGAGGTTGTTGTAGTTGTAGCGGCAGAAAACATTCCTGTAGTAATTTTGAGGATTGGTGCCGAGTTGACAGTCCTTGGCCGGAAAGGCGGACCCTGCCGATTACTTAGACCCAACTGTCGTGGCAACGGAACCTGCTGGGGTTGTAACCACCCATTAGCAACCTGCCATGGCGCATGCCTTGGAGTTATTGCCAATGTCTCTCCCTGCCTACTTTTTCCTTCACACAAAGCAGCACCCTTATGGTATAAGGCCCTACCGCGATATACGATTCCGGTCCTACCATTCTAGTGAAGGCTGCAGAGTGGACCAGCGCTTCAACTGTTTCAGTGACCAGGCACCCACATAAGGTGCACTTAGTTGCGACTTGGTAGGCTGTTCAACCGTTCTGTACGCTCCTGCACTAGTAACGATTTAACCTCATAAGCAGAGATCGCTTTTGGTGCCGTTTGACTATGACTGAGCATGGCAACACTTTCATTTCGATAGTTGCGTTGGAGGTTTATCTCTATACACCGACTTTTAGCATGAACTTCCGCTTAAAAGATGCTTGGAAAACTTCCCATGGGAATGGAGAGCTTGGTGCGGGGTCCTACACTCCTACACCAATCCCCTCCGACGTATTCGAGCCGTCGGTGTACCGGTCTATAGTGCTTTCCCTTAGAATTCGCCATTCCATTCCGCCTTACTGCCAAGGGTAACTATAAACTTGTTTACTCGGACTTCTGCACGATTTCAATTAGTACAATTCAACTGTAATTAAATAAAGTTGCAATTCAAAAAACCTAAAGCGATTTATAATATATAAGATTATAATATGCAAGATATTCTATTATTAAAATTTTCACATAACCAGTTCTTGTTGCTTAATATTGTATTGTGCTTCCAGAATGTTCTTCATTTTCCTGTTACCTGTTTTGAAAATAGTTTAAGAAACATTTATGAAAATTAACAAATAAGCAAAATTCGCAACTTACCTGACGCTCTTCAAATTTCTCTTTAAAAAGCAGATTCAATGGTGCCAAATTTTGTGCATCTCTTTCTTTCGCATTCTAAAAATTTGCATGATGAATGTTGCTACTCTTACAACATAATTTTTCATTTAATAACAAAAACTAAGATGTGGTAACATGTGTAGTGCTGTAAGCCGTGAAACTTTACAAATGTGGTGGTGAACTTGTTAATAAAATAACAGTCATAGTGCATTTGGCTTTTACTCGCATCTTACGACAGGTATGCCTTACCGCGGGTGAATTCTTACCCCTAACCGAAGGAGGGATCGGAACCAACGCTAAAAGAAGTTCTACTCGAAAAAAGCTGAGTTAACCCCGGTGTTGGACTGACCGGCCACCAACGCACAAAGGAATTCTACGCAAAAAATTAATATTGTCTTATATATTTCCTGACATAGGATTATAATCCGTTCTTTTATTTCTTTCAGTTCATTTACAAAAGATGTCGATAAGGTAACATTGCAATTTATCAGTATGCCACCGTTTTGTTATTGTGTGAATAAGTAGAATTGAACAAAAATTTAAATATTGAATTTAAGCAATATATAATGTGAAATGAACGCGCAAAAACGAATTAGTACAGTGTTAGTGGATATAAAAGTGAAAAATATAAGTGTAAAATCCATCTTAAATCGAAAAAATACGTACTTTACATAGTTGGAGTTTTCAACTTTAAACGCAAGTATCTCAATGACTATAAGTTTCGCGCGGTTATATATATATATTCTTGATTTGCAGAACATCCTCTATCCATCCATAGCCATTTTATCCGCGCAACTATGGGACGGTATACTAAAGTTTTCCCATTTTTAGTTACATACAGTGTACACATTGAAATATAATATGTCCAAAATATAGATTTATTGTGCATTTTAAAAGAAAATAAATATACCGTAAAAATTACTTTACACACTCTCTGTTTCAAGAAATTTGGGTATGTACATTGATGGCGTTTACATGGTGCATTTACACAAGCGTAAAGAATCCAGCACTTATTTAGACTTACTTAGAGCGTATTACATAGTTGATTTGTATGTTGGTATGGCGGTCTCATATTTTATAATAATTACAAAACCCGCTGTTAATATTTCCAAAGAAAATCTTATGACGGGAATTCTCTAATCCACCAGAATGTGTTCAATACCCGCTATTAATATTTTCAAGGATAAATCTATGACGGGAATTTTCTAATCTATTGGGAATTATTAAAACCTCGTCATTTTTACTTCAATTTTATCTATTTATTACAAAACATTCATGAATTATTGTAATTACATTTCTTGTTTTATCACGTAAAATGTAACATGATATGAGAACTAAATCATTTGCGGTTAAAAGAAATAAATATGATAGCATCTTAATGTATTTAGGTAA